CATAAGTATAAATTCAGTTTTGAAATTATGTCCCAAGAATTTACCCAGTTGGCAATTTGTTAAATATTGATGTGAAACTTGGAAGACAATCTATTGAGTATATACAAAGTTGGGAAGGTACTGACATATAGATGACATTAAATACAATGAAATTACATGATTTCAACTAGGAAGAGAATGTAGAAGTGATAAGAGAAGTCAGTGGATCAACATATATAACCATTTATGCATACATATTTATAGTGTACTATATTCAGGCCAATTTTTTAGTTTTTTTTGTGTGTCAACTTAACTAAGCTGAAACTAGGTTTCTCTGAATTCCTTTCCTATATAGTTCCAGGTTAGCTTAGTTCACAAGCGATACTTTTTCATGATATTTGGAAGATGAGAGTAAAGCAGCAACCATATTTTATTAGACATGGAAGGTTGGTGAAGAACATGAGCCACATTGCAACTTAGGTCTGTTGCCACTCATGTGGTTGGCTGGGGAAACAGCCAGGCCCACAGTTCCCTCGGTTCCAGTCAGTTTTCTCCTTCAGCTTCTTCAATTCTTCGATCAGATGATGACTTAGATCCAGGTATAACTTTAACATTAGCTCCTCTGTAGAACACACCCCCTCCAAAACTGGAAGTGTAGCAACAGTGAGAGACTGGAATGAGTTTAGTCCAGTCTTTTGGCTTTTAGCTGATTCATACAGGTTTTAGCTTGCCTTGCTTCCCTCCTATCAAGTCTGTTTTCACTCACCTCTTACTTACCCTGTGAACTGCAGGCTCCAGTCATAGACAAAGAAGCACCAGTCTCACACAGACCGTTGAAACAGCTTCCAGAGAATTCTGTTTCTCTGATCAAATTCTGAATGATACAGGTAGAAACAATCTCATTCCATTTCTATGGTAATGCTACTGTAACACTAAGAAGAGCCAAATGATTTCGATGAGCTACATAAGACACAGTTGTGTACTGTACCAATCATTAAACAATTATTTATCAACTTTAATTTCACCCATCCATACTTTGTCTCTATGATTTCAGGTTTGGAATTCCGTAAACCCTACTTTTCCTTGGTTGGCTAGCTGATTAGATTTTGCCGGTAAGGGCTAAAATAAGTGCAGTGGCACATCATATGTGTATGGTGATGAGAAGGGATATTATTTTAGGCAGTGATGGTAATGGTAGCAAATTCTAAAGTGAGAATGTGCCTAGCAAGTAAGAGGAAAACTTGATGGGGTTTCAAACTGGAGAGGTATAGCCCAGGAGACAGTTCCTTTAGGTCCAAAGCAAAGCTGTGTAGAACCTGTGGGCCATAGCAGACACCAGCTAACATGTAACTTGTGTATAATGACCAATATGCATATGGAAGGATACTTAACGAATTTATGAAGAAAACACTTAAGGTGATTTTGTTTTTGGCTTTATAAATCAACATGATTAGTTATATATCACATTGGTGAAACTATAGAAACATGGGCCCTGTCACTTTCTGCTCACAGAGGTACCCATTTGGACAATTTTGTTAACAATCTTTTACATAGAAGAGTTAAAATTTAATGCTTTTGACTCTGTTATTTCTGTTCTGAGAGGTTATTCCAATAATTTAATAAGACAGAAACTTAAATTATATGTACAAGGAAATTTTTCTTACAGAAATTCTTAAGATAACAAATTTAGAAATTATCTAAAGTCATAAAATAAATTCTAGTATATCTATTAAAAGGAATATTGAGTAGCTATTAAATGTGGAAACAATGCATGGCAGAGACAGAAAGTTAAGATCCAATATTGTTTTTTTCATTTCCTAATAGAATCCCCAATATTTAGCTAGTCATGTGGTAATGTGTAATGAATATATCACTTTTCATCTCAGTGCTAAGATGTTACTAAATTCTTGCACTGTTACTAAATTCTGGTTAATTGCTTATAAGTATAAATGATTCCCTGAAAGGGAGGGTAAATTTTTTTTTCTCTCTTTCTTCTTGTTGGCTGGAATGTGCTTTTAATAGTAGTAATGATTCTAGTAGTAGTAATGACTCTAGTACTAATGACTCAAGTTCCAGTAGCCACCTTGAACCAAAAGGGACCTTTGAAAGGCAGGCACTCATGGAGGAGTGACAAAAAGGACAGGTGGTGGCATTGGGCAGGTGGAACAGAGAGGAGATGAGAAAGTTCAGAAAATCATGTAAATGTGGCACCCTCAAGTTATGCCATAGATTATCATCCCCAAGACTTTAAATTATTCCATTTATGTCACTGATTCTTCACATATCTGTTACTCAATGTAATCCTAGATGATTATTTTTAAGAAAAATTAAAAAGCAGGTCAAGGAGTGGCTTGTACAGTATGCCTCTAAATATATATTTGTTTGTATGTGAGGAGAAAGGGAAAGACAGAAAGGTAAAAATGAGAAAACATAAGGCATCTTGTGGAACATAGATGATTTTCACTTCTCTCTTTATAATTTTCAGTTCTATTTGAATATTTTTACATAATTGCCAATGTTCTCAAGATAAAAACAAAATAAAGAGTTTTTTAGTTTTGAATAACTAAGCTTTCATCTAGATGAAAAGTTAAAATAATTACTACACATGTGCAAACATATGTTGGTAATTAATTTAAAAATTTTACATCATTTTGATAGTTTTTAATAGTAACTATTAAGTATTAACCTTATGCTGGCTCTTATATGTGTTTATAGGTTAACTTGTAGGTGAAGTCAGGTATAAAACATGTTCAAGTATTCTTGGTTTATTAAAAAATATTTTTAGTTCAGTAAAAACACTGTATTATTAAAAATATCCTATGAAATAGTGAAAAGCAAATCAAGCTAGATGAGAATCCTGTCTACAAATATAAATGTGGGATTTCAAAATCAAGCATTAGTAAAATTATTTTAATTATAAAACAAATAAATAATCCTACATAACAAAGATGTCACACTAAGAAAGCAATCACTGCTTTGTATTAGACCACTGGCTAATATAATCATATCAGTATTCCAGATACAAAGATTATACTTTCCATTTCTTCTATCTCTTCTACATGAAGACCTCAAATAACACTGAGAAGACGAATCATATGAAAAACAGCAATGTAATTATACATTTCATTATTATAAATACTAGTTAAAAATCAACAGGATATATATTTAATGAGGAAACTGTAAGCATTCCTATTAAGATAATAATTAAGAATACTCACTATCATTATTTTAATTGGCTATTATCTAGACATATAGTAAATATAAAACTTTATGAAAATAAAATAAAAACTGTGGATATTGGTGAGAAAGCAACACATCTAGAATTTGTGGTTAATAAAATTTTATGTATATAATTTTCAAAGGATAAAACAAAAAATTCTCTAGATCCATGAATTGAATGTTTAATAAAGCTGCTAATATGGATATAAAATTTGATATTTACATATACTGTATATATATATATAGGTGTATATTATATATATAAATATTTACATAGTGATATGATTTGGCTGTGTCCCCACCTAAGTCTCATCTTGAGTTGTAACTTCCACAATTCTCATGTGTTGTGGGAGGAACCTGGTAGGACGTGATTAAATCATGGGGGCAGGTCTTTCCCGTGCTGTTTTCATGATATTGAATGAGTTTCACGAAATCTGATGGTTTTATAAAGAGGAGTTCCCCTGCAAATCTTTGCCTGCCTGCATCCATGTAAGATGTGACTTGCTCCTCCTTACTTTCTGCCATGATTGTGAGGCCTCCCCACCTATGTGGAACTGTAAGTCCATTAAACTTCTTTCTGTTGTTAATTGCCCAGTCTCAGCTATGTCTTTATCAGCAGCTTGAAAATAGACACATGTATATAAATATATACATATATTTATATATATTTAAGAATCAAGGAAATCTGTAAATTATTTTTCTTTACAGCCACAGTAATGATTAGTTAGAAATGTTGGAGGAAAAACATTCTTATTCAAAATAGCAACAAGATACGAAATGTCTAGATATATCCTGATTCAGAAATTTGAGGATATTATACAAAGAAAAATATAAACATTTGCTCAAAAATTAAAAATATGCATGACAATGAATTTGAAAAACATAGTTCTAGATAATCAAGACTACACATTAGGTTACGGTGTACACTGCTTGGGTAATGGGTGCACAAAACCTCATAAATCACCATGAAATAACTTATTTATGTAACCAAACACCACCTGTTCCCCAAAACCCTATTGAAATAAACAAAAATAAAATAAAACAAATGAATATTGAAATCAACATCTAAAAGGAGAAAGTTACCATAGTATGTACTATATATACCTGATTAATATTATAAAATTAAAAGTTATGTTTAGGACATTTTTATTGCCAGTAGTAATGTTATAAAAATATAATAAAAAGAACGCAAAATTGGATATGCAAAATAAATAGTCATATTATTTTTGTGTACTAATTGTTTCTTAGATACAACTTATTACATCCCAAGACTATCAGTATCATCTCTAACTTACAATATTGCACTAGCATTTAACCTGTCCTCATATATCCACTCTTGCTGTACTACAGTCTATTCCCCACAAAACCTCCAGAGTGATCTTTAATAACAAAGATCTTATCATTTAATTGCTTAAAGCCCAGTAGAATTTCCTATTACTTCTAGTATGAAGGACCATATAAGGCCTCAGATGTTTCAGTGCCTGCCTCATTCTCCAGCCTCCCCACTGGCATCTCCCCTGATGCTGTGTTCCAGCCTCCCAGTCCTCTCTCCTAAGCTCCTTTTTATTTGTAAGTTCTCCATACACACTGCCTTTCCTGCCTAAAATGCTCCTCTCTTACCTTTGATTTGTTAACAACTTCGCTTTTCAAATGTGAACACACATTTTTCTTTAAATAACTTGAGTTTTTATGAATCATTTTAAAAAGTTTGACAATGATTATTTTTTCTTTTTTATGCTTTTTAATATGTATTTTTTATTCTATAAGGATGACTTATTTTATGAGAAAATGAGAAAACAAGCACAACTTTATAAACAAATTTATTAAGCCTTAATTTAGCAAAAACATGAGATTGATTTTAGTGTGGTATTTGCAAAAGGTGGACAGCTAAGCAGTTTGGAATAAAAATATTCTTAATCAAAAATTGACCTCTTCAAGTAGCAGATTCATAGACACCACAATGCCTTCATTTTCCTAGAGAAAGTAGAGAGAAAAGAACATGAGTAATCTGGCTATTAGAGGTGAGATATAAATATAACTAATCTCTACTGTGAGAAATACCTTCACAAAAAGGCTATGGACCTGTCATCCCCAAATGGGAAGATCTCTACTAGAGTCTCATTGCCTCAGCACAGATTTAACAGCTAGTCAGACATACGGTATAGGAAAGCCTCATCACAAGCAGAGGAGAATGTGACTCCGAAAAACTGACTTTTGGGTAAAGAGAGACAAACACTGGCTGTGCATCACATTTTCAATGACTTTATTTTCTGCATGCATCAGAATCTAATATTCCCTACTTGCTGAGTAGTTCCTTGAGAGAAATTATAAATGAAGGGTTTTCTAGCTGAATTCTATTGGGCTGCCATTATACAACCATGATACTATGGCTGTTGTCGTATAAAACCAGGGATTTACGAGGGTTGCTAAGAAAAGGGAAATAACATGAGCCTCTATAACTAGTGGGCAGCTGACAGGCCATCATTGTTCTATTCTATCCAGGCTTTCTGAATAGACTGAGCAGGGAGCACTCAAATTCACTTCTAGAATATATTTACCTGAGTTGCTTCTTATGAGTTTTAATTCCCAGGAAAGAGATAGAAATATCATGTCATGGACACTCTTTCAACTGGGTCAGTACATTTGGTCTCTCAAATGAGTGTTGAACCTAAAGTAGTAAAGAAAGAGATTTTATAAAAGGAAAATCTGACTCTTTCAGGAGTAAGAAAATTCATGTTTTGTATTAAGGCTGTAGCTAGGTAATGTAAACAGAAGATATTTTTAGCTTTTCCTTAGATATAGCACATACACAAATGAATTGTTACTCTAAAAAGAATTCCCTGGGTGAGCCAAGCTATCAGAATCAAGTTATTGGGAAAACCCACAATGGTTCTATGTACCATTTCATAACACTCCCTCTTTGAATAAACTTGGAGTACAGGAAGGATCATCAAAATGACTTAAGAGCTTTAAGATTCCCTACAAAAATTCACAAGTGGTTTCTCAAAGCCTTCTGGGGCATAACATTGAAAATAAAAGAGGACCTATACCTTTCGAAAAATTTCCTTTAGATAATGACTCCAAGAATAATTTTTGAATTAGTGGATAATTTTGGAAATGAAGATAGAGCCATTTGCTTCATGCCTCCAAGAAACATTATCTGCAAATAAAAGTCATCAAAATATTTGAGAATGTGATCTTTTACACATGTAGAAGACTCCTGGAGTCATATCTTTGGTATTTTTCTTAAATACTATCTACATGCTGATGAATCTCCAGGTTTTTCCCAGTCCAGATTTCCCATCCATTTGCCTATTCAATGTCCACCCTTCGAGGTAACACATGTTCCAAACTAAACATAAGAAACAGGACTCCTGTTCACTCCTTCAAACCTGTGTCTCCTGCACATCTGTTTTCACCGACTCAGTAAATGGCACCATTTACCCCAGTTGCCAAGCCAAAAACCTAGTCATTATTTATTATTTCCTTTCTTTCACATCCCATATTCAATCCATTAGTCAGTTTTCATTGATTCAGCTGCCAAAAATGTATCCCAAATTTAACAACCTTTCATCAACGCTATTGCCATAAACCCAGTCTAAAAGCTATTGTCTTCCTAACTGAAATATTTAAATCATTTTCAAAGGGCCTTTTTGATGCTACACTTATCCTCGTTTAACAACTTCTAAGGTAGTATAAATGAAGGCAAAATTCATCATTTATAATTTTTCTGTGGTAGACATTAGGCCATGTCCTTGCAGTTGCAATTTACTTGGCTCTATTAGCATGTAACGATTTCTACATTGGCAGGGAGATTAAAGGAAGAATTGAGAGTACAAAGGGAAGAAAGTAAATGTTAGGCAAAAGGAAAAGAAAAAAGAGAAGAGGAAATAACAGAGGAACAAGAAAAAGAATGTCATTGGGAAAGAAAATAAAACAGATGGTAAAAAACGGGAAATAAAAGAGATGGAGAAAGAAAAGTGGGAGATTAACAGCTCTCTTTCACCTTGAAGGTTATTATTTAAAAAACTTAGCTTACACAAAAATATTCTTTAATACTTATACAAGTTTAAGCACTTGTTTTAGCAATGGGCGTTAACTGTAACAGATGGCTAGGAAGAGCCGAGGCTATGCAACCCTCCTGGAATTTGTAAGGATCATCAACTACTAATAAACAGTTGTCCAAAAAAAAAAAAAAAAACAAAACAACTACCCAGTGTTTTCTACTGCAAATAAAATTCCCGGCCTGACTCTTTAATAGCTCTGCTACTTATACTCCCCCTAATTTTCTACTCCAGTCAGATTGTCTGTAACTTTTCTGAACAGCAAGAGCAGTACTGTCTCAGGGTCCTTGCTCTTGTTTTCCCTTTCCAGAGAACGTTTTTGTTTCAGAGTTTGGCACAACTCCATCCCCACGTTCAAGTATGTACTGAAATGCCACCTCTGGGGAGAGGTCATGGCTAACCACCCTGGCTCACTGGCCTTCCTTTGCCCACCCCTGGCTCACACACACACACCCACCCACACACACACACAAACACCATCTCGTTCTATAGTCTAATCCTCTTTTATGCATTCTCTGAAATCATACCATTTATTATTTACATGTTTATTATATACATACCTCCACTACATTGCAAACTCCATGAGAGTAGGAGCTTTGTCTCTCTTGCTTACTGCCATACACATACAGTAGATAGAACAGCATACAGTAGAGTTTCAATTAATAGTTACCAAATGGATAAAACCATGATAAAAGGTTACAGGTTTTCATTCCTTTTTAAGTTTGCTCAGAACTTTTGAAATTATGGTACTCGAAAGACAATATTATCACTTCTGCTCATCTACCATTCTAGACATTACAATTCTTTAATGTAGCCTGATAATTGATCAGTTTCCTTGGTGACTACATAGCATGTGTTACTCATATGCAGTTTTTATTACTTTGTATGTGCTTTTCTTAACCGCTTCCTTATTCTGTTTTGTACAGTTAGTAGTTTCTTATATATCTGTAGTTTTGCACATTTTTAAAAGATGTTAAAAGCAAGATTAGCACTTACTTCCCCACTCTTCAATTTTAAATTCCATTTAAAAATATGAGTCTCAGAAAGGTGGGGATATTTACATCAAAGCACATAGGTAGTGGCAGTGATGGGCTCAGCATATACAGTGTTCTTGGCTTTTACCCCAGTTCTCTATGCATTACCCTATAAGTCTTTTTAAAATTCTGCCCTATCTCAAATAATGTGATTATATGTCCATGGATAGATAGTACCTGTCCATGTTAGAGTTGATGCTCGGACCAATACAGCATTCTGCTCAGGTTCTTCATTTTCACTTTCATTTCTGAGTTCTGAGGAAAACCGAAGAGCAGGCATGTAAGTGCTAATCTTGTTTTTGAGATACTTTGTTACAAGGACAGGTGAGAGATAACCTATGTGGTCTGAACCTTAATGCAATGGTGTTTCCTCTATAACACAGGACTCCTTGTAAGGCTAGCAACCACTTTTTTGGTGTCAATTTACCTTTTGGAGAAACAGCCATTGACTGGGCTGATGCCGCTCTTTCTTCATCTCTACTTTCTTCATTTTCTTCTTCAGATTCTGCAATAGAATTAAGAAAAGGTTTAGGATCAGTACTCTATCTGAAAGCCATTTCCAAAGATTAAAATTGACTGTGAACACAGGTTTCCCAGGTCTTTACTGAGATACCATCTCACAACAGTAGAGGTCGAAGAGTTTTCCATTGGAATATGGGGTTTGGAGGCAGTTACCTGTGGAAAAGGAAGATTATGCAGAGCCTTCTTCAGATTCACTGTTGTCACTCTCAGAATGATATACTGAAACAATATGAAAAACAGATTTGTTAGCAGAACTAAGTTTCAAGAACCTACACACTTCACACTCTCCTTTGCACTAATGAGTAGATGACTATGCTAGCATGGGGCTACTCTATGAAGCATGAAGATTTGGCCCATTTTCTAAGCATCAAGTTTGTTCTAGAGGAATATGACATTCTGCCAAGTGAAAAGGGAGACAAAGTTTCTATAAAATAAAGAAGAATTTGTTATCTTTCTGCTTACAGAATTCAGGGAATAATCAAAATCTTTAATCAAAGTTTTTATGGAACAGCACTGTTCATTCTGAGGAAGGAAAGTACATCTATGTATAAAAAAATAGTCAATCTACAACAAAAATGATTCCAGATGCATGTCCAAGAATTGAGAATATACTCATTTACATATTACAGTCTGGATTAGGAATCAGCAACCCATAGTCTGTGGGTCAGATTCAGCCAATACCCGTTTTTATAAATAAAGTTGTACTGGGACACACATCAACACACCCATCATGTACTTATAGTCTGTTGCTGCTTTTGAGCTACAATAGATGATTTGAGTCATGACAGAGGCCACGTGGTCCAGAAAGAGTGAAATATTCATTACCTCTCAAAGAAAAAGTGTGCCAATCTGTGCTCCAGAGAGAAAGAAACATCTACACCCCACTAACCCATGAATTACCTATTCCTTCCTTAAATAGAAATCTAGATTTCCAGACATTTCTTTCTGGGGAAAAGCCACAGCTAAGCAAAAGATAATGGATATTCCCCTATTATACATTCTGTATCTGAGAATAACTCTAAAGGCCACAGAGTAGCCCAGAATAGCCAAAGGCTATCACTGAATTTAATGTCTCCAGCACCATTCATTTAACAATAATTACTAAGCACTTATTATGTATCAGGTATCATTTCTGTGTGTTTAGGATATATTCATGAACAAAGCAGACAAAGATCCCTCACAAAGTGGAGCTTACTTTTCAGCAGAGGGAGACATAATGATATAATGAGTAAGTAAATTGTATGGAGCGATGAGAGTGAGTATTGTTTAAAAAGTATGCAGCAGTATAAAAGTAATTGGGGTGGATTAGTATTTTTTCTTGGCATTAAACAAGATAAACAGGAGGCTAGGCCTGGTGACTCATGCCTGTAATCCCAGCACTTTGGGAGGCCAAGGCAGGAGGATCACCTGAGATCAGGAGTTTGAGACCCATCTGTGCAACATGGTGAAACCCCATCTCAACTACTAAAAAATAAAATAAAATAAAATGCTGGGCACGGTGACTCATACCTTTAATCTCAGCACTTTGGGAGGCCGAGGCGGGCAGATCGTGAGGTCAAGAGAGATCAAGACCATCCTGGCCAACATTATGAAGCCCCATCTCTACTAAAAATATAAAAAGCAGCTGGGTGTGGTGGTGCATGCCTGTAGTCCCAGCCACTTGGGAGATTGAGACAGGAGAATCGCTTGAATCTGGTAGGAGGAGATTGCAGTGAGCCAAGATTGACCACTGCACTTCAGCCTGGGCAATAGAGGGACACTCCATCTCCAAAAAACAAAACAAAAATTACAGGTGTGGTGGAGGGTTCCTGTAAATTCAGGTACTCAGGAGGATGAGGCAGGAGAATTGCTTGAACCAGGCAGGCAGTGGTTGAATAGAGATGAGATCACACCATTGCACTCCAGCCTGGGTGACAAGAGCAAGCAAAACTCTGCCAAGAAAGAAGGAAAGAAGGAAACAGACAGACAGACAGACAGACAGAAAGAGAGAGAGAGAGAGAGA